CCAGCCTTGGTGGGTCTGCTCTCATGTTATTACCCTGCCACTGAGAGTACACCTTGGATGGATCAGTGGAGAACATTCGGTTTATTCTCCTGGCTTCAACTTCTCTGGTGTACCTCTTCAGTCGTGTGGCCAGGGCTGTGAGCCTTTGCTTGGCAGTCTCTAAGGCCTCAGGTATGGACAGTGAGTTGTATTTCTTAGGTACCCCTTTCTTCATCACGCCTTTCTGCAATTTTGATAGCTGGCTAACTTCTTTTCGTGCTGCCTTGATCTTGCTCTCCAACCTCCTTCTCCATGGAGGATACTGCTCCTTATGGCCTTTGTTGAACTTATAGCCAAACATCTCAAGGATAATGGTTGCTGTGGTGTATATGAGCTTGTTGGTCTCAGTGATGGTTGTAGTAGGGATTGTTCTTAGTGCTGCATTCACATCATCTAGTACACTTTCAGAAGGCACTTCACTTAGTCTTGGTAACCAGCCACGGGAGTTCCAGGTGTCCATCTTGCTCACGATCTTCAGTCTCAGGTCAGCAGCCCTTGAATCAAGCTCATCTGGGCCTGTTATTGGGGCTTGGTACCCAATCTCCACTTGTGGAGGTAATGATGATGATAATATCACCCCCCTGACCTGTCATCCTGGCTCCCCCTTGCTGGAGCATTCGTGTTGTACCTCATCAATCTCTAGTTGTGATAGCAGGTGCTTTTTGCGGATGTTATAGCACTGAGCTACTAGTTGTTTTGATGTTAGTATAGATGTTGGGTTTTGAAGTATCCATAGGTCCCACATCCTCCGTATGTAACCCCTCTCGCTGGGGTTACTTGTATAGTAGCATTTCAATAGTTCCCTGTTCTCCTCTCTTGTCCATGAATGTCTTGTTCCAGTAGCCCACTTCTCATCAGGTTGCCCTGGTTCCCCAACAGCTGACGTGGACCTTGTTGACCCTGGCAGACAGGATAGCTCAGTGGGTAACACCGCTGACTTTGGTACAGAAGGTCAGGGGTTTGTGCCCCGGTCGGGGCATGGTCAATATCCCGCCTGGGTCCTTAGGCAAGGCCCTTAATGCTATCTGCCTACCTCATCAGTAATGAGAGTTGGAAAAATAAGAGTCACGTGTGTGTGTGTGTGTGTGTGTGTATATATATATGTGTATATAGGACACAAGTTTACTCCCTGTTATGGAATATGTTCTTGCTAGTGGTTTTACCTAATTTTCTTCAGCCTGCTTTTTTAAAATATCTTTTGTTTTGCCTTTTTTTGTATTTGAAGCACTCTTGAAAGGTGCTATTATTTAGGGTATTACTTCACTGATCAAAGGTTGTTTGATCAAAACATCAGTTCAACAGCAAAAGCAAGGACAGAGAAGACTGATAGGTAGTGTAGCAAATATGAGCAATGCAGCTATAAAATTATTTAAACTATTGTCTCAGCAATGTTTTGATCGAGATGGAAATGTATACTAATACTTTGGTTAGTCCTCAAAGAATAAACACATGATACAACACATTGACATACTGTATGTACATCAGTCTGAAAACATCTAGTATAGTTTGATATTGTACTTACAGGCTAACAAAGAGGCTATCTATTGAAATTTAATTTATTGTAGGAATGACTTTTTTTTTCCTTATCACCTTCACATTAGATACATACAAAAATGAAGAGCTGGACCCAGTCACCACAGAGGAGCAGGTTCAGGACGTCCGAAGTTACCTTGCCAATTTGGCAGGTATTGGGGAAGTGCTTGCCCGCAGGCACATGAAAGTGGTATTCTTTGGAAGGTATGTATATCTTTTTCTTAGCCTCTTTCTCTAGTGTTAGAACTTAATTTATCTAGATCAACAATTCCAAAATGGTGTGCCATGGCACACTTGTGTACTGGGAGGCAAGTCCAGGTGCACTGTGGGATTTTGTGACAACCATACATTACTATTGCAGTATATAACTTTTTAAAAAAAGGTATGAATGAATTTTTGACGAGTGAGTACATCTTGATGCTTCCCTCTCATGCCAGATCTACCCCTCTCACTCACTTTTCTTCCATCCATTATCTATACCGCTTATCCTGAGTAGGGTCACGGGGGTGGGGGCTGGAGCCAATGCTAGCTGTCATTGGGTGAGAGGTAGGGTACATCCTGGACAGATCACCAGTCTAGTGTCAGGGCTGACACTTAGAGAAACAACCACATGCACCCACACTCACTCCAGCAGAATATTTAGGGGTGCCAATCAACTTAACCCTGCATGTCTTTGGTCTGTGGGAGGAAGCTGGGGTATAACCCATGCAGGCACAGGGAGAACATGCAAACTCCGCACAGAAAGGGCCTGGTTTGGCCGGGTCTTGAACCCGGAGATTTCTTGCTGTGAGGTGACAGCACTAAGGGTCACTGTGCCGCCCATCACTCATCTTATTTATCATAAATGAAAATAAACATAGAGTTACAAGGCTGATAACATGGTATAGAGGCTATTTTCCATGCACATGAATACAGGTGTGCCTTGGGCACAAAAAGTTTGAAAACCACTGAACTACAGTGCCTTGCGAAAGTATTCGGCCCCCTTGAACTTTGCGACCTTTTGCCACATTTCAGGCTTCAAACATAAAGATATAAAACTGTAATTTTTTGTGAAGAATCAACAACAAGTGGGACACAATCATGAAGTGGAACGAAATTTATTGGATATGTCAAACTTTTTTAACAAATAAAAAACTAAAAAATTGGGCGTGCAAAATTATTCAACCCCCTTAAGTTAATACGTTGTAGCGCCACCTTTTGCTGCGATTACAGCTGTAAGTCGCTTGGGGTATGTCTCTATCAGTTTTGCACATCGAGAGACTGAAATTTTTGCCCATGCCTCCTTGCAAAACAGCTCGAGCTCAGTGAGATTGGATGGAGAGCGTTTGTGAACAGCAGTTTTCCACAGATTCTCGATTGGATTCAGGTCTGGACTTTGACTTGGCCATTCTAACACCTGGATATGTTTATTTGTGAACCATTCCATTGTAGATTTTGCTTTATGTTTTGGATCATTGTCTTGTTGGAAGACAAATCTCCGTCCCAGTCTCAGGTCTTTTGCAGACTCCATCAGGTTTCCATCCAGAATGGTCCTGTATTTGGCTCCATCCATCTTCCCATCAATTCTAACCATCTTCCCTGTCCCTGCTGAAGAAAAGCAAGCCCAAACCATGATGCTGCCACCACCATGTTTGACAGTGGGGATGGTGTGTTCAGGGTGATGAGCTGTGTTGCTTTTACGCCAAACATAACATTTTGCATTGTTGCCAAAAAGTTCGATTTTGGTTTCATCTGACCAGAGCACCTTCTTCCACATGTTTGGTGCGTCTCCCAGGTGGCTTGTGGCAAACTTTAAACGACACTTTTTATGGATATCTTTAAGAAATGGCTTTCTTCTTGCCACTCTTCCATAAAGGCCAGATTTGTGCAGTATACGACTGATTGTTGTCCTATGGACAGAGTCTCCCACCTCAGCTGTAGATCTCTGCAGTTCATCCAGAGTGATCATGGGCCTCTTGGCTGCATCTCTGATCAGTCTTCTCCTTGTATGAGCTGAAAGTTTAGAGGGACGGCCAGGTCTTGGTAGATTTGCAGTGGTCTGATACTCCTTCCATTTCAATATTATCGCTTGCACAGTGCTCCTTGGGATGTTTAAAGCTTGGGAAATCTTTTTGTATCCAAATCCGGCTTTAAACTTCTCCACAACAGTATCTCGGACCTGCCTGGTGTGTTCCTTGTTCTTCATGATGCTCTCTGCGCTTTAAACAGACCTCTGAGACTATCACAGTGCAGGTGCATTTATACAGAGACTTGATTACACACAGGTGGATTCTATTTATCATCATTAGTCATTTAGGTCAACATTGGATCATTCAGAGATCCTCACTGAACTTCTGGAGAGAGTTTGCTGCACTGAAAGTAAAGGGGCTGAATAATTTTGCACGCCCAATTATTCAGTTTTTTATTTGTTAAAAAAGTTTGAAATATCCAATAAATTTCGTTCCACTTCATGATTGTGTCCCACTTGTTGTTGATTCTTCACAAAAAATTACAGTTTTATATCTTTATGTTTGAAGCCTGAAATGTGGCAAAAGGTCGCAAAGTTCAAGGGGGCCGAATACTTTCGCAAGGCACTGTAAAAATTACTGCAGGTAGTGCAATGTAGGCCTAACTTCACAAAGGTTTATTCAGCTACTGTACAATGCTGACAAAATACTAAAGTACAGCTAAAGCTTATATATGTAAGGCTCCTGACAAAGGATCTCCCAGTTCTCCCAGGTCATTTTTCACAGAAACACCTTTTTATATTACAGTCCACACCAACAACATAGTCGTTTTGGAAAATAACTAAGTACATTTACTTAAGCAAGCTCCTGGTACTGGAGCAGTTTTGAGCTACACTTTTAGAAAGCTGTGCTGGTGCATTTTGTACATAGAAAGAATCGTAGATCTTTGAGTTCAGCTCATGAAAAATGGGGGCAAACACAAAAGCATGTAATAAATAATAATTTTGTTCAGTGTATTTAGTTTAATTAGTTTTAAATCTGATTCTGTGCACTGACTTGAAATTATAGAGGAGTAAACATAAACTATAAGTAAAGCTGTGGGAGGATTGCATTTTAGAAGGGCTGAGGCACTGCTGACAATCTTGTTTGTTCTGTAGGACCAGTAATGGGAAGAGCTCAGTGATCAATGCAATGCTATGTGACAAAGTGCTGCCATCTGGAATAGGACACACCACCAACTGCTTTTTGAGGGTGGAGGGCACAGATGGCAATGAGGCCTTCATCCTCACTGAGGGCTCTGAGGAGAGGAAGAGCATTAAGGTCAGTTTAACTCAGTTCCTTTACATGCCCACAGTTACAGTATGCTTGTCAAATTGCCAAAACACTATCTCTAGTGTCTACAACTACAATTTTTGAAAGTGGAATGCTGGTCTTTGTTGTATATGTAAACTCCACTGATGCTGATGTGTGTTTACAGACAGTGAATCACCTGGCCCACGCTCTCCACCAGGATGAAGATCTGGATGCTGGCAGCTTGGTCTGTGTTATGTGGCCTAAAGCCAAGTGTGCTTTGCTCAGAGATGATCTGGTGTTGGTGGACAGGTAAATCTCAAGTTAACACTATTTGACCAACAAATTCAGTTCTATCACCTATTTGTCACATGACCTATTTTGTGGCAAAAGCAGAATGTAAAAGAAATAACTAATTCTAGCCTGTATATACTGTATTTTATCACACTTGTACGATGCATATTCTATCACTGTAGGATAAATGTTGCAAAACTGCAATTTGCAATCTGACAATGCCACTCCTCCTCCCTTAGACTTTGCGTACATGTTGCATGCGCTATAGTGCCTATTTGCACATAACAAAAGTGCTCTCATCTCCCACTACAGCGGCATGATTATGGCAGAAATTATAATCATGATTATGTTTGTCAATATTGAGATCACAATTATTTAAACCACATTTATTAAACTTAAAAGTACCATCGGGCTTTGGGGACTGTTGTCCAATTGCTCTCACATCGCATGTGATGAAGGTGCTGGAGAGGCTGGTGTTGGTCCATCTTGAGTCGCAGGTGAGACCGTTTCTTGATCCCCTGCAGTTTGCCTACCAGCCACATTTGGGGGTTGATGACATTGTTCTTTACCTGCTGCAGCAAGTTTTGTCACATCTGGATGGTGATGGGGGCACAGTGAGAGTCACCTTTTTTGATTTCTCCAGTGCCTTTAACACCATCCAGCCTCCACTATTGGGA